GCAGGGTCCTTGGGGCCTCCGTGTGGTCCTGGGTCATTTGCTTACAAGCAGAATTTTTCAGATTAGAGAAAGAAATATACTTTACTGGTCTTCTGTCTTGTCTGTTTTAATTATACCACAAGAGAAAAATCCCTCACAAAATCAAACAAACTGAAAGCCAGAGGCAAAGAGGTTTTTTGATAAGTAAAAATTAAAATACTTTGATATTTCAGCCCAGGGTAAAATTGTACCACTTGATTTTTTTCCCCTAAAGTGAGTATACTGCTTTTCCTGATTACAAAAATACAATGTGTTTATTGTAAAAATTCGGGAAATAGAGAAAAGCTTAAAAATCATCCAATAAAAGCCCACAATCCAAGTTAATCTTAATTCACATTTTTTGTGGCTCATACTTTCTCTGCAGGTCTACATGTAGGATCTTTTTATATCTATAATGAGATTGAGCAAATCATGATTTTTTTAAACTGCTTTTTTCACTTGTCATCCAGCTGTTACTCTTACGGTGCGCTTTATCAGGGGTTCCAAAAGTCTTCGAGATCTGCTATAATGGGAACGTTGCTTCTGTACTGGAAATACTTCGTGTGAGGAACTTGCTCCTTGTGGTAAAAACTCACAGCACAGTGGTTAAGTGTGTACATCGCGGAGTCGGAAAGTCCTGGGCCCCGATCCCACCTCCTCCCTGGACGTGCCGTTTGACCTCCCTGCACCTCGGTTGCCGTGCCTGTGGTGCCCCTTTCACAGGATTGTTGAAGTGAACGAGTTAGATGCCTCTCACGTGCTTACAGCAGCACCTGACGCAAGTAGGTGTCATGCATGTGCTAATAACACAGTTATTATTACAGTCACAGAGCCAGTGTCAGTGGCTATGATTTGACGTGCTTTATATTTAAATCCGTTAACAACCCCTGTCGTTGTTATTTGCTTATACGTTAATGTGTGTGGTGGACCCCGCTAACGTGGGCCACCACTGTTGTCATCTTCGTCATCATCTACTCTTTAAGTATGGCCTGCAGGAAGCGTTCTAAAAGTCGGAAGGAATGTACTAGAGGTGCATTTCAAGACCTGGGGGAAGAGATTGCTTGTTCAATGACTGCCTCGGATATAACTGGATAACTCTTGGGAAGAAATAGTTAAATTCGCCACATCCTCCATAAGCCAGAACAAAATCTGGATAGAATTAAAGCAATAGCAGAGGCTAACAGAACACATCCTTGAATATTTTAAAAAGGCTAGGGTGAGGAAGACTTCTCTAAGCATGGTCCTGAAGCCATAAAACATAAAAGAAAATATTGAGAGACGTGACAGTACATAAAAATGCATATTTTATCTAATGATAAAATTAAAAATTCTGTCCTGCAAAAGAATGCCATTAGCAAAAGCCTGTGTTAGAATGGCTTTTTACCTATAGGATGATCGTCTGTGAATTTATTTATTGATAAAGTTGGGAGAAGGTCCTCAGATCTCTCTTCTCCAGTGGCCATCCTAGCAGGCGTATTGATTTACTAATTAGGCTGTGATTTCACCTCATTGGCAGTGAAAGTGGCATCTGCCTATCCTGCTGGGTAATCCAGCCTGGTAACCAAGGTGGGGGGGGGGGGGTTATCCAGCCTTCACTACAAGGGAGTTCCCTGTGGTTAGATAAACTGATCTGTTGCTTGGTAACTACAGGATTACTCTGGTGGATGCTCAGGACGCCCATTTGAGAGGGGTTTGGGCGTTTGGAGGGCAGGGAGGGCAAGAACGTTGGCAAGTTTCTGGGAGAACTGCAGCTTGGCAGGAGAAGCCCATCGTGGGCTTGGGTTTAGAACGTTTCATCTTCCCATCTGTACTTTGCCTTTTCGGCACTGGGCCTCAGAACAGACGAAAAGCAGGCAGCGGGCTGGCCAAGGGAAAGGTGGGTCCCGTTGGGGTGGCAGCTGACAGCAGGGGAAACCCCTGCAGGGTTGACCCCAAGGTTCTTCCTCCCGAGGAAGAGGTCTGGGTCTGGAAGCCAGGAACCCCTGTTTGCCGTCTGGACCACCACTCAGAGTTTGAGTTTGGGTCCCAAGTTGGAAGTCCATTGACTAGAATAAAATCATAAAGTAGCTATAGGAAATTTTGAGGTCATAACCTCAAGGCAAGCAGGACCATCTCCAAGCCCCGCTTTCTAACAGCATATCCTCTACCTCAGTCGGTGTGGACTCCAAGCGCCTTGACAAATACTCCTGATCAGTGGCATGACACACACACACCAGAGGTGACCTTCCACAGCCCCAGGGCTGGCTGAGTTTGCCTGGGAAGGGACAGATCTCATGTGACTCGGAAGCAGACGAGAGTGGTGTGGGTGTGTGTACACGCACCGGTGTGTCGCACGCCTCGGTGGGGTCCTCGGTGCTGGGTCTGGAGGCCCAGCGGTCTGAGCCCAGGCGCGCTGCCCAGCGCCTTTGGCTGGAAGTGGGATGCATCCCCAGTCTGCTTGCGCTGCCGGCAGTTCGCGTATCAGTCCCCCAGTTAAGACTCTGGTTATTTATCTTGCGTTAGCAGTGGCGGGAGCCGTCATTGAAGTGGTCGGGCTTAGGCTGGGGCGGCTATTTTGACTGAAATTTTGCATATTTTGAAACTCAGGTTGTTACATTTAAAATTATACGCGATGTGAGTACCTGCCTTCACACAAGGGGGGAGAACAAGCGTTCCTTCCCGTCAGAGCCTGTTCACTCTGGCTGTCGTGTCACCTGGCTAAAAATAAACCGCAAGCACGGGAGCTGACAGCCTTCTGTTTGGAACGAGTTTAGCGCGTTCCGCTGCAGGCCCGTCTCTTGCCGCTTCCCAGCCACGCGTGAGACCCAGCATGTGGACGGACCTCCCCCGGACACCAGGGCACACGGTCCACACGGGCAGGGTCTGGGGGGTTAGAACCGCTGCTGTGCACAGAAGGCTGACGCGGTCACCAGAGCCCCGGCCCCACCGTCAGGCCCCAGGGTCAGTCCTGGCTCCTGTGTGGCCTGGGGCGGCGGACAGGGAGGCGGAGGTTCGCTTGGCATCTCTGGGCTTCAGTTGCTCCGTTTTTAACGCTGATTGTCTGCAATCCACGTGGCCAGCCACCAGCCAGCGCGCCGTATGTCTCGCTCTCTTTAATCTTTACGCACCCTATGAACTTCGTTCCAAGTATCATCCCCATTTTTCAGATGAAGAAGCCTGCGCCACCCGTTCACCACGTCATTCAGCTACTGAGCGGCAGAGCCGGGTTCCAGCCCAGGCACCTCCCTCACCCTTCGGCTCTCCCCTCACTCCTCCCTCTGTCATCTGGCCTCTGCCCGCATCGTCCCACTGAAACGTTCACGTGAGACCACGAAGGCCTCCTCCACGTCAGATCGTGGTCCTTTGTCACCCTCGACCCCGCTGGACCTTCCTGTCCTGCCCAATTGTTCCATCCGGGACCGGCTGCCTGGTGGGAGGAGCTCAGGCTTTGAGTCCGTGGGCCCTGTGTTTGCATCTGGGCTTCTGCTCCTAGGAGCTGGATGGTCTTGGGGAGGTTACTTACCCTCCTCCAGTCTTGGTTTCCTTGTCTGTAAAATGAGATGGTAGCCATACCTGCCTCTCGGAGTGAAGATCAGATGTGGTAACGTAGAGCCCAGAGAGTCCTTCCCTGTGTATTTCTCATCCTTTCACCAAGTCCCGTCCCTGCCCTTGCACGTACTCTTGTTCCCACAGACGCCTAGCCCTTAAATACGGGGCTCTGTTATCCCCCTGCCTCAAACCTTTTCCCCAACACAGGTTGACTTTGCATTTCTCCCCGTTTGTCATGGTAGAAACTGTTGTATGACTGACACAGATTTAGCCCCACCGTTGCTTGCACCCTGCCTTGTGCAGCGGGAGCGTAAAGAGATGTGGTTGCTTTAACCTAGTTACAATGGTGTCCCTTTCTTAATCAGTTTACTAGCACGGTATTAGTCCTGTTGTTAGTTCCTGGGCTTTAAAGGAGTCCTGTTATGTTTATTTTTAGTCTGATTTATCTTCTGATTTTTACAGCAAAGGGAAATGCTGTAAATATAAGTAGCAGAGGGTAACATCTGCCTTTTGTAAGAACCCAAGACACTGCCACGTCAGCGTTGAAGGAATTACAGGCAGAGCAAGATGGGTTCTCTGGTAACGACTCTGTTGTTTTGGTTAAGATCCTGTCTTACGAAACATTATTTTACTTTTCAGTTTTCATGACCATTTTTTCTGTGTACGGCTAAATTTCTACAGATTTCCCCCTCTGCTTTTCTAATCAAATTAATGATGAGGCTGCTGTCTTTTGAAAACAGTTAGCAGGATTCACCATCTGACGTTGATTTTCAGTCTTGGGCATTTTCCCTGTGGGTTGGGGCAGGTGAGGACCTCCCTCCCATTCCTGGGGCCGCTGCGGTCCATTCCCGGTGCGGACACTGACCGGTCTGCCTAAGCACACCTGGGTTTGGGATTTTGGGGGTCAGAAATAATTTACAAGAGTCTCTTTGGTGGGTGAAGAGGTGTCTGTGGCGGACAGCCCAGCCCTCACTGTTTGGCCGCCAAGCCGGGTCCCCAGGAGGAGGCCAGTTGCTTTGAACTGCACGGGGAGGTGGGAGCCGAGGGGGGCGTTCCCAGGAGCTGCTAGCGGGCGCTGACTGCTGAGCGTTGCCGAGTTTCAAGGCGGGTTTTTCCCCTTCTTTTGGCAAACCGCTGTATCATACACCTCATTTGCCATCAGAGTGTGAGTGTGTTTTCGCTCTTTTTTTTCCCCATGAAAACAACACAGAGCAAAGCCTCACTTTTAAAAATGCCATGATATTTTGCCGCCGTTCTGAGAATCTGTCAGCGCCGTATCTAATCTTCTGGTGCATAGAATATCAAAACAAGCGCCATTGAAGGGATTGTACTTCTGTTAATACAGAAATGTCAGTTCTACAGTCTTGGAACCAGCTGCCATCAGCCTCTTTCCAAATGGAAAAGAAAAAAAGTAATAAAGTTTCCTTTCCCCTCTGCTTGTTACTGTTCTTCAGGCCTGACCTTCATAGGAGGACCCAGAGTAAACAGCGCCTTGCTGAAATCTTGCGTTCGGAATACTCCAGCGGGATGGAGACCAGCGTCACCAAGGTCAGAGAGCAAAGCAAACGCGCAGGGCCCGGCAGCCAGCCTCGCAGCGCCATCCGAAGCCAGCGCCCAGCCTTGGCCGTGGGAACAAACGAAAGCCGAAAGCCTTGCGGAGGGACAGCGAGGCTTCCCAGAAAGTGGTTTTAAGCTCTGCCCCCACGGGACTGGGCCTCGGTGGATCCCGGAGGGGTGTCCTGTTCTCCTCGGAGGAGCCTTGTGAGGATGAAGGGTGCCGCCCCCGCCCTGCAGACCCGGTGACCCGGTGCTGTGCCGAGACACGCTGCAGCCTGAGGGGTC